ACATTAGGAGAGGGGACGGACAATACCTAACATGTCAAACCAAACCGGAGTTTCCGTGGATGGTTGCACATGAACGGATCCAGAGGAAGGCTCAAACGCCTCCCCCATCCCCAGTCCCTCGAAAAAAAGGAGAAAGATAAAGAGGACAAAGAAAGAAGGAAGGAACGAAGGAGAGAATATAGAAGGACGATTGCTTTTGTAATTATTCTTGACAAAATTGGTAACGTTGCATGGTGTCAACGATCACGGTGCCAACAAGCGGAAAATTACTTCCTAATGAGTAAAATTAAAAAATTAAGTGTACAGGAGAGGTTTAGGTCACGTATAGTTAGATTAGGTTAGTTTAGGTCAGGACAGTACGGTTAGATTAGGTAGGTAAGGTTGAAGTTAGTTAGGGTAAGGTCGGGGTAAGTTAAGTTCTATGAAAGTGAGTTGGGTCTTGTAAGGTAATGGTGGGTACGGTTAGGTTAGGTTAGGTTAGAGTAAATAACACAAGAAAAACAAGACTTGAAATTTGAAAGATGTTATAGGGGGAAGTTTTAAGTTTTGTTGACGTTGTAATCGTTGACACCATGATCATCTTTCATAAGAGCCAGAATTGTTTATTTTTGGATGAGCATGGTGTCAAGAAAACCTTAGAAAAACTGCTTGTAGACACCATGTCTAATCGTTGACACCATGCTACGTAATCACAAAATTGACTCAAAATGCATATTAGATGCTTTAAATTTTTGAGAATTGGGGAGGGGAGCCTCCAAATCCCCCTTACGCCCCCCTTCAGTTTGAATTATCTGGAACCACTAATGATTGCGCTGAAAGAAAATGAGGAAGAAAATGAGAACAAAGGAAGAAGTAACGGAGGAGGAAAGAAAGGAGGAAGCTTCGATTTTGTAATCATGTATTAAATTAAAATTGACTCAAATTTTATTGTATTAAATTAAAATTGACTCAAACTGCATATCAGGTACTTAATAATTTGGAAAATTTTCTAGGGGGAGCCCTGGATCCCCCTCACGCCCTTCACCCCCCCCCCCATTCGAAGTGTCTGGCTCCGCCTCTGACCGTGCGGTGACATTCAAGGTTCATTTTTATTTCCTTACGTATTCAAACGTTATTGAATGCAATACGCCCTTTCATACAGTGCATCGATACACGTGTGCATATTTACACTAATTCCGCAGAGCTTTAGGAAATTCGAACTGTATTCTGAGGCTCTCGGGTGCGCTGTCCACGGGACGGAACGGAAATCGCCGTGAGCTCGGAGCAGGGTTGCCTTGCTAAGGAAAAACGCCCTATGAGCCATCGGACGTTGTCAAGTTTCCTCCGATAAAAACCGAATCTACTGGAAAAATTGTGAATATTATTTTCCGAAAATTTTATACAATTTAGTACGCAATTTAATCTAAAATACCTGCAAATTTCGAGGAACAATATCCATGAATGTTGTCAAAAATACATGTTTTATCGAGGGAAATTTGGCAACTCTCGAATTTTCATACGGCGTTCTTCCTTAGTACGGCAGAGGGCCCGGATGACCTGAATGCGGCAAAGTCATTAAAATGGCTTGCTGGAGCTGAAAAATACGATGAGCTTAAAGTCGTATCAGGAACTCCTTCGCAGACAGACCGTGACTGTGACTGTTCACCGAAATGGGACGCGACCCGTTAACAATAAGTAGGACTCCTCAGGGACCCAACTTTATACCGTACATTTGAATTTAATACCGTGCGGACGAACGTTATTCCAACCCCGGTCAAAAGAGCCGAATGGCTCTGCGTCAGGAAGAAATATCAATTTCTCCATGGTATCGATTGGTTCCTGCCGGAACCGCCTGCATGGACCACGGGAAAAAAAGAGCACGCGGCTGTTGGATGATATGGCCATTTCTAATTAATTGTGGCCGTACCCCGATAAATTAGGTTACTAACCCAAACGTTGCGGCACCACCACAATTAATTGGAAATGTCCAAATCATCGAACAAATTGGGGTAGTGCCGCAATATTAAAGGATAACCCCTAGCACTTTTTTCTGTGATAAAAAAGGTATGGTCCTGTAAAAAAGATAAGTATAAGAGGACGAAGAGGAAGTACGATCAAAGAAGAAGAAAAAAGAGGAGAAAAAGTAAAAGACGGAGAAGATGACTAAAGGTAAATTAATTAATGATAAAATGTAGTTAAAAGTGACGTTTTAGATCGGCATTGTGCACTTATTTCCATGTAAACATATTTATTCCAAAACAAATCTATATATTAAGATTCTGTCATATCTTCTTCAGTATTTTTGATGCACATCTCAATAACATTAATGTGTTTAGCAAACCATGAGAATTAAATCCGAAATTTAAAGGAGCATGTGGAACAATGATAGGGCAGATTATATTGAATCATCCAATGTGACCATTATAAATCAATACCTCTTTTACAAAATCCTACAAAGAGTAAAAAGAGTTTGAGAGGTACCTCAGTCTGCTAGAGCGTGACACTAAATGAAAACAAAATTAATTCGCGACGCAACGGGATCTTAAAGTTTCCGCAAATCTGAGGAAGTTGTAAAATTTGCTCACTCCAGATAACCGCGTCCGCGAGATTACGGCCCATTCAGCTCAAACTTTTCTCATCGGCCGTCCTTTGTCCCTCCGGGCGTTGTCACGTTGAACGGAAAGCAAACGATACCCTCATTGAACCAAAAACCGCATATCTCTAATGTAATCTCACTTGAATACACGCGTTTCAGATCAGCAAGCTGAAATAGACTCTAAATCCTCGGAGCTGGATAGAACCACGTAACTCTTATCAAAATGCCTTGCATTTGTGTGATTTTTTAGTCAATGTAGGGCGAACATCTGCGGTCTTGCGGGCCGCACAGAACCGCGTAACTGGAATATAAATCTCCAATACGTACGGGTTTTTATGCATAGGGCAACGAAATGATGATTATCTCTGCAACGGCACCATCATTCACCTCTACCGCTTTTCATCTTTGCTCAGCACTGACGATAAAGTTGGGTTAAAATTGAGAGCTAATTTTTCCGCTCTTCCCTGCAACTTTGAAAGAACTTTCGTCGAGAGGAAACTGCTTAACTTTTACGATGTCTCCGTGGGTTTGATTCAATTAAAATAAAATTCAACGCCTCCAGCATGGTTGCCTCTTTTGGATAGCCAATCAAAAGAGTTACGCATTTTGAATCAGGTGATTTAGAATTTCAACGATCTTTCTTTTTATGCGATACACTAATTTTAGAAACCGGGCTTGTATGACGTTTCAGAGATATGCGCTAGACGGGACAGAAAAAATGTGCGAAAGTTGTAAAAATGAGCTTGGGGCTTATCTCAGCGTATATTGCTTGAGAAAAGAAATATACCATAATCAGTGGCGAGGCATGAATGATCGCGATTATCAATATTTCCCAACTTAAAGCTCTAGTGCGGAATTGATCACCAAGGTGTTCGTTGCGAACACCCTCTTCATCGATCATTTTCCATAGGTTTAAATGACAGATCTATCGATATATTGTAAAACACGCTACGCCACTGGTCATATTGTTAATAGCCTTGTTTTACCTAATTTCATACAGGGTGTCCCAAAAGTCCGTACCCCCCCCCCTAACTTTTGAACGGTTAGAGATAGGAAAATGAAACTTTGGGAATGTTTCTATATTAAAGAGGACCATCTTCTAGGGGGGTCAAAATTTGTGTCCCCCCCTCAGGGGGGGCAAGGGGGCCCCCAACTTTTTTTTTCAAATGGTAACCCCTATCTTGTGATACATCATTAGAAAGAGCATAAAAAACTAAGACTTTTGGCGCAAACCGCAAATCAATATCTTAATTTTTGACCGAGTTATGATAGGTCAAAGGTCAAATTTGACCTTTTTTCAAAAAATCATATCTCCGGTTCAAATTATCGTAAAGAAAAAAACAAAACGGGAAACTTTACCAAATTGTAAGCACTTTTAAGTAAAAATCACAGAAATATTACTTTAAACTAATTTTATGGGGGGTTTCCGACCCCCAAATACGTCATTTTAAAGGTCCCACGATATTCTCGCGAAATGAGCCAATTTCCCCTTACTTTTCCTCAACATTATCATAGTAAGTTCAAAATTAGTTCAACATTGCGTTTTCAAGTCCCCAAATTTCGGGCAAAGTTCAAAAAACGAAATTTAAGGTGATTCAATTCAACCATTGAAATTTCATTTTTTTAAAACTTTGTTCGAAATTTGGGGACTTGAAAACGCAATGTTGAACTAATTTTGAACTTACTATGATAATGTTGCGGAAAAGTAAGGGGAAATTGGCTCATTTCGCGAGAATATCGTGGGACCTTTAAAATGACGTATTTGGGGGTCGGAAACCCCCCATAAAATTAGTTTAAAGTAATTTCTGTGATTTTTACTTAAAAGTGCTTACAATTTGGTAAAGTTTCCCGTTTTGTTTTTTTCTTTACGATAATTTGAACCGGAGATATGATTTTTTGAAAAAAGGTCAAATTTGACCTTTGACCTATCATAACTCGGTCAAAAATTGAGATATTGATTTGCGGTTTGCGCCAAAAGTCTTAGTTTTTTATGCTCTTTCTAATGATGTATCACAAGATAGGGGTTACCGTTTGAAAAAAAAAGTTGGGGGCCCCCGCGCCCCCCCTGAGGGGGGACACAAATTTTGACCCGCCTAGAAGATGGTCCCCTTTAATATAGAAACATTCTCAAAGTTTCATTCTTCTATCTTTAACCGTTCAAAAGTTACGAGGGGGGGTATGGACTTTTGGGACACCCTGTATATCGCGGATTGAAATCTGTCTGTTACGTATGTCCCGTAACTAAATGTTGGTTCTTTTACAAGGACTTTGATTACTTGATGACAGTTTTATTTACGGAATGATTTTCTTTCACTGAAGCATAAACTGAAAATGATTGAAAAAAGGAGTGTAAGTATTGTATAAAAGTAGATTTGTCCAATTTTCTGATCCGTAAACCGACATTTTTTTCTGTTACTTATTTCAGATTTTATGGAAGAGAGGCGGATTTTATTGGAAAATGTTGGACCGGAGCTGCAAACTCATTATGATTCCACCGGATTAGAGGTAAGATTTGATAAACTAACTTCATGGTATGATTTACTGAAGTGAAAAAACCCCACTACCATCATTGCAATACTAAATCTTCGATGCAAAAGACATTTGTATACTCACAGTCCCCAGTTGGGTCAAATTGAACTGTCTTTAAATGCATTGATGTTTGCGGTTTTTGGAGTATTATCTTATGTTATCCCTATGTCTTTGAAGGTAAGAAATACTTTTCTTTTACCTTTTAGATGACTGCTTCTATAGAGAAATAGATAAGGCACGCGTTGATGACGGCGTAGAGATACAACTATTCGTGCTTAGTGGATGTCCGTGTTGCATTTGTAAGATTGAAGGCGCGATGGCGCGAGGCGTGAACTCGCGAGGCTTTGCTCTTTGCGGCTTATGAGATCCGTATGACTTGAGCTTTGAGTCCCACGCACGAAGTGAATTTCTCCGTGTGTAATGCAACTCACGCATAATTTGTAGGTGTAATAACCATCATGTTAGTGCAGGAAGAAGGTTTATAGTGCAATGATGCAATGAGCTTCTACACTAATTTTTCTAAGAGAATCTAAAATAACGAATACAAAGAATAAGGTAAAGCGGAGCATTTCTCTCAAGTGTTCAAAGATTAAAAGACCTCGTCTCAAATTTTATCCCACGGATGTTTCCATGCTTCGACGCGGAAAATAGAGGCATGATGAATTTTTAACGGAGGGTTTTGTTCCTTTTGATCTTGAGTGACATTTTGGAGAAGCACGATATCTCAATCGTCTCACCACCCAAGCTCCATTGTTAAATCTTTTATGATATGCAAATTGCACTCTTCAACTTCAGTCTAAGATTTAACAGCTCGTGACAGCTGAAGTGCGGGGGACCCTTTGAGTAAAACATCGGGCAAACCCGATGCGCTAGAATTATGCTAACCAGAAGAAGATCTGTTCCGTGAAAACCAGGTATCATTACAGGGGACAGTAAAAGCGGAGTTGTCATTTGATTACGTAAAACACATTTCCTACTGAACCCTTGACGAGAACATCGCGTAGCTGCGGGCTGATTATTGAAACTGATAGACTAAGCAATAGAAATAGAAGACGAAAATGATATAGAGAGATCCTATTAATGGAAGTGGGTGGTTGCAATGGACAAAGAACTAAGGTAATAGACTAACTCACGGCAACCCACGAGAGACCCGATAGTTAGTCTATCATTTACCCCCTTAGTCTATAAGAACCACCCATTTCAACCAATATCGCTCTATACTCCTTATGTCTGCATTGTCTATAGCTTTGTCTGTAAATTTCAATAATCGGCCCGCAGATTAATGAACTCTACGGACAAAGCGATAGACAAAAAATACAAATTGGACAAAGGACAAAGTAGTCCTTTTGGTTGAAACGGGCGGTAGTTATGGACTATGGCGGGAAATAACGGACTATATAATCATAAGGTCTCTCGTGAAGTGCCGGGAGTTAGTTCCACTTTTACTTTCTTCGTCCATCGCGACCACCCGCCTCCGCCAATAGGATTGCTTTCATTCCTCTTCCTTTGCTTTGTCTATCACTTTGTCTATGAGTTGCAATAATCAGCCCGATGACAAGACAAGGCATAACCCCATCTTCGCCATGAAATTTACCACATTTCGGTGTCTTATCGGACTGCTTGGAACTTTCAAGCGAAGCGAAACAAGCCAATGTTTTAGTTTGAAATCTACACAGAATGTAATGCTGTCATCGAAGAAAAATTAAAGAAATTTTCAAGAAATTACGTTCACCAGTCTTTCAACTAAATAATAAAGTATGACAGGAAGTCTGCATTGTCGCAAACGGAGACACGTGGTTTCGCACTGATATATCAAAATTTCAAAATAAATCGGTTTTCTTATTAAATTAATTACATTGATCTTTTACATGTTACAGCAGCCTCTTGCTAGAATCAAACGTTATTTTAGGAGTTTTTTTTATATTTTAACGTGTTTGGCGTTAATATTCCTGGAGAAATTTGTCTCGCGGCACTATAATTACAGCATTGTTGTGAGTAAGTAATTAGCAGCCTTACGTAAAACAATTAGAACAAAGCGACGGTTAAAAACAAGAGGCTCTGACTACCCACGTTCTAACCTGTCTTCTGCCGTGCTAAGGAAGAACGCCATATGAACCTTAAGACGCTGCCAAATTTCCTCCGATAAAATACGAATTTTCACGGGAACTGTAGGATATTTTTCTTCGAATTTTTCAGACAGTTTAGTACATACTTTAGTCTAAAACACCTCAAAATTGCAAGGAAAACAATGCACAACTTTCCTGAAAAATGAATTTTTTATCCGGAGAAATTATGCAACTCTCGAATGCACATGCGGCGTTCTTCCTCAGCACGGCAGTCTTGCTCCCGTGGTGATGTGTACCGTTAGTCGACATCTCTAATTTTATTTTTTCCCCACAAAGACTTTCACTGAACCTGACAATGGCAGGAAATCCCGAGGGGGTCGGATCCCGCGGGAGATAAGGCTTCTCCCGAGCGAATCATCCCGGAGCTCAAAGAATTCGGGAGAGCGACGAAAAGCTCCGGAGAGGAGAACGGGACAAGGCCGAGGGGCCCTTAAGAATTTTGAATTAAAGCAATTATGCGGGAGCAGACTTCGAGAACAAACGAGTTCGGAAAAACAAAGACACAAATATAAGAACAATGAGTCGTGCTGCCAGATCCAACCCTATTATTGTACACTCAGATGATCTGAACGATTATCCTCTGATTGTTTGACTTTTTGACAAGTTGCGTTTTTTACGGGAAATCGTTTTATCGGAGGTACCATCGATTCTAGCGGATTTTTTTTTTTTTTTTTTTTTTTTTTTTTTTTTTTTTTTTTTTTTATCGATGGATTTCATTTATTTAACGGTGGCTAATACTACCATGCTAAAAAAAACGCCGCATGAGCCTTCAGACCAATGTTTGAAACTTACCTTTGAGTTTTAGGAGCCATGTTGCGCATCTAGCTCGATTTTTAGGCGCCACTGAAGATTTTTTAGGGGCCAAATTGACTTTTTGCCTGTATATTAAGGCGCATTTGGACGCAAGATGTATTCTTAACAGAACTAGTAAGTAGCTGTAACTTTGGGAAGACAAAAGCACTAAGAATGAAATCTTGAAGAATAGGAGAAGCAAGCTTTCACTTGTAGTGCTGAAAATTCTGAGTTTTCTCAATTCAAATAGATTTCTTTTTCTTTCTTTATGTGACTTCCTGTGAAAATCCAGATTTTTAGGGGGCAGTTTTTAGGGGCCACGCTGGCGCAGATCCTTCGTTTTTTAGGCGCCGTGGCCGATTTTTAGGCGCATTTCGTGAGTTTCGAACACTGCTTCAGACGTTGCCAAGTCCCCTTCGATAAAAGCCGTATGTACTCTGAACATTATGAATATTTTTTTCCAAAATTTTTAGACAATTTTATACGCAATTGAATATAAAATATCTGAAAATTTTAAAGGAAAATGTGCATGAATGGCGTCAAAAATACATGTTTCATCAAGGGAAATTTGTCAACTTCCGAATGTTTATACGGCGTTGTTCCTTAGCAAGGCAGAAAACTCTCTTTACATTTCGTAAAATATAAGGACGGTGATTCCGAGTGAGGCTGAAACTTTCTCATTGTCTTTTTTTGACAAAAAACGGTCTACGGATATTTTTTATGTGCGATAAGAGTTAACGATTCATTGAATTAACTCGACCTAAGGAAAAAATTAGTAGCATTTGGACAGATCTCTACCAAACAAAACTATGTGCAGGTGGGACTGAACGCAAAGCGAAGGCTGTAGAGTTCATCTCCAAGCTCAAAAAATCTGCTCTGATCTGCTTTGTGAAATGAATCTCTGAAATCGTTGGTCTGTGAATGCCGTGCGATTACGCGTGTCTCAATGGAAAGCAGATCGTAACTTGTGATACAATGGGTCTGTTGCACCCAAGAGGGATTTGCAGATTAATGACTCATTCTTAAGTAATTTTTCACGAGAAAACTGATGGTGTGCTTAAAAACACTCCAAATTCGATATTAAAGCTGCAAAAACTTAATAAAGTTCAAAGTTCCAACGGAGGCCTCTCATTGGTCGTCTACCAGTCGTCTACGTCACAACCTGGAAACGTTTCCCGCCGTTCGCGTAGCCGTGTAGTAAACATATGCCTTCAGCGTGAGCTAATGATCGATCTGTGATAATAAACGTCGGTTCTGTTGTTAATTGTTATTTAAAGTTGTGAAAATGCCGAAGAATACCACCGCCGGCTTCACCAAAGCCGATGGACGCAATTTGCCCGTCGTAAACGACGAAACTTTGAACAAGTTCCTGGAGGAGAATCTGGACGCTGAACCGGAGCTTCGGCACGTCAAGGTAGCAAGGTAAGTCACTACAAACGTTTATGTTCTTTAATATTTCCCTCTGAAATGACCTCTCAAGGGTCTCTCAGCACGCGGATGATCGCAATGTTCTCTAGCGTGATTATCATCCAGTATTTTCAAGGCGTAAACAAGACAGTTTCACAGGGTCTAACCTCATTGTTTTGGTACGCAAAGTAACAATCTCCAGCTAAAGAAGTGGATGCTCACACACAGTAATCAAAGTTATCATAGACTCTGGATGACACAGCCTACTTGGTGACCTGAGTGATCCCTTAGGAGTGGGCTGTGGCTCTGCCTATTGAAGAAACACACCATCGCTCCTAAGCTGGTAGCAGAGAGCAAATCTAGTTGGACATAATGATCTAGATCTACCATAACTGTGTGTGCATGAGACAGTTAAGTAGTTTTGGGAATTTTCAGTGACCAATTCATTATCAGAGAGAAGTCAACCATAAATAATCAACATTTTCTGCGTACATAGTGGCGAATTCAAATAGCGCCAAGAAAGACTTTCTTGGCCGGAGTTTTTCAGTCATTTACTAACCTATGGATCTTGATTGTGACTGCTAGAAAATTTCATCTTTTAAATTATTTTCCTCCCTGTTTCACAGATCCTGTCGCTCAACATATTTCCTG